ACTTCAGGTCACCAAACCCTAAACCTTAAACCCTCAACCCTTAAACCCTAAACCCTAAACCCTAACCCTAAACCCCTCAACCCAAAACCCTAAACCCTAAAGTAATCCTAAACCTGGCCTTACATGGACCCTAAGCCCGGCTGGCAAGTCGGCGACCCAGAACTAAACAGCACAGGTTTGGAGCCTCGCTATTTAGGTGTAGGGTGAATCGCCTTAGGGTTTTACGGTTGGGTTTAGGGTTTAGGGCTTAGGGTTTAGGGTTTAGGGTCTAGGGTTTAGGGAAAACAGAGACGATGAGGTGCACACCTGCAACAGGGCACGGTTAAGCAAGCCCAACCTAGGCACTCCGCCAACCAAGAAAGGAGAAAGCCAGACGCACAGTGAAGTGCCTCACATCTTCAGCAGGTCTATGCCTTTGGCAGCCTTCAAACCCTGAACCCCTAAAGCCCCTTCATCATTCAAAATAAGTGCAAGCTGAACCAGCCAACTAACTAAGCCTGACATCCGAAGGAGGCCGCTGCCAAGAGCGCCAAGTCTGCTGAGGCATGTGGACAACATCAAGCTCTATTTTTCTTATGAGTACTCCGTAGGCCCTAAACCCTAAACCCAAAACCCTAAACCTCAAAAGGGCGAAATGTACCTGTTTTTGAGAGGGGGGCGTTTTCTTGAAGTGTGGAGTTGCTCAGCTTGGGCGCTCTACGTACACTTGTTGGGAGCCTGTCTCCGGCAGACGCAAAAGAGTCACTCCAACTGTAAAAGAAACCCTAAACCCCAAGCCCTTAACCCTTAACCCTTAAACCCTAAACCCTAAACCCTAAACCCTTAACCCTTAAACCCTAAACTTCAACTCCTGGCTTTCGCTTCACAACTCTTGGGGTGCTGTTAGTAGCTTGTCTCTCTTTTTGGGTTTAGGGTGTAGGGTTTAGGGTGTGGACAACCTCAGTCTTAAACCTTAAACCCTAAACCCTAAACCCTGAAGCTTGGAAGCCTGAACCTTGGGCCTTAGGCTTCGGGGTTCAGGGCTTGGGGCTTCGGGTTTTGAAGTAAGGTCTTTGCAGGAAGAAAGAGCTTTGAACATAAAGTTGTAGTTCTAAATCTACTATAATTATAATACGGAGCCCCCAACAATATGATATATACTACAGTTATATCGAGGAACCCCCCAAAAAGGCTTGAACACTAAATCCTGAACCCTACGGTTCAACTTCCGAGACTTAGGGTTAAGTGTCTTTTTTAGTCCGAACCCCCCCTTGCACCCATCTTAAAGTCTTAAACCCTAAACCAAAGGCAGTGAAGCCCTAAACCCCAAAGCCCTAAAGCCCGAAAGCCCTGAACCCGAAAGCCCGAAAGCCCTAAACCCTAAAGCCCGAAAGCCCTACACCCTAAAGCCCGAAAGCCCTAAACCCTAAAGCCCGAAAGCCCTAAACCCTAAAGCCCGAAAGCCCTAAACCCTAAATCCCGAAAGCCTTAAACCCTAAAACCCCAAAGCCCTAAGCCCTAAAGCCCTAAAGCATCAACAAAGCCCTTATCTTAGGGGCTGAGTAGGTAACCTTTAACCTTTTGGGGCTTATATAATCCTACTATAATTCAAAAGGTTAACCTTTTTTGGGCTAGGGTACTCAGCCCCTAAGTTATAAAACAACAAGCCCCACCTCTTACCCGCAGGACTTCGGCGCAAGCATCCAGGCTGCCGCCAAGAAGGAGGGACCCGGGGGTTCACAGGATGTTAAGGTTTCTAGGGTTTCTAGGGTTTAGGGTTTCTAGGGTTTCTAGGGTTTCTAGGGGGTTTAGGGTTTAGGGTTTAGGGTTTCTAGGGTTTCTAGGGTTTCTAGGGTTTCCAGGGTTTCCAGGGTTTAGGGTTTAGGGTTTTAGGGCTTCTAGGGTTTAGGGTTTAGGGTTTAGGGATTTAGGGTTTAGGGTTTAGGGTTTAGGGTTTAGGTCGGGCTTGTAGGGTTTAGGGTTTATTTATTGGGTCAATAATGGGGTTATACAATAGGGCTTATTGCGTTAATGGGGATTGTTGGAGTTGAATGTATTGCATTTGTCTTTAGGTTGATTTGAGTGTATTTGGGTTTAACTGGGTTTATTGGGGTTATTTGAGTTTAGGAGCTGGGAGCAGGGTTGGGGCAACCTTGTTTCAGTCTTGTTGTTTTGTTGTTTTGAGCTCTTCTTTCTTTTTGAGCAGGATGTTTAACGCTTGGTCCTTTTCATTTTCGTGCGGGTGTTATCATTGTTGTTATTGTATTTGTGTGTTTGCTTTCGCTTAGTTCTTTCACGGCCTTCTGAGGTTGTAAAATTTTCTTAATTACGAACTTCCGAGTCATCCCATCCCTCTCAACAGAGCCGCAGTAGCAACAGTGTGTCGGACCCAAATCTAAGCATGTATCCCCGGGCTCGATGCCCCTGAAGTCTACAGGGAGAAGGAATGTTTTAGAGCCGAGTTGAATCAACCTTGACCTCCTGAAACCCTAAACCCTAAACCCTAAACCCGAAACCCTAAACCCTAAACCCTAAACCCGAAACTGTCCTCAAAGGATTCCTTTAAAGGGTTGGGGATTATTTGGGGTTTAGGGTTTAGGGTTTGTGTGGGGACTATTTGGGGTTTAGGGTTTAGGGTTTATGTGGGGACTATTTGGGGTTGAGGGTTTAGGGAAGCTCGACGTCCTTCTTTCAGGATTCCTTCAAGGGTTCCTTCAAGGGTCCTTTAAGCAGGTGTTCCTTTAAGGGATGTATAGCGGTTCTGCCAGGGGGTCTAGGGTGTAGGGTGTTGACGCCCTGCGGCCTCAAACCTGACCCACAGCCTGCATCCTTCGAACCCAAGAAATCCTTGAACCCAAGCATCAAACGCCGCTGCCAGCCAAAGGCCATGGGTGCTTTTGGCGGTGGCTCCGATGGGAAGCCGCTGAGCGGCAGTGATGAGGGATTCACTTGAGTGTTGGAGTCTTGGTATTTAGGGTTTAGGGTTCGAGAGTTCGGGAACTAGGGTCGAGGGTTTTAGGGCGCAGTGGGGCTAGGATGTACGGGGTTTAGGGATTGAACAGCATGTTCAGGGCTTTGGGGATTGAAGCAGGGTACTGTAGGAGCCTAATTAATTTACCTATACCATTCTGGGGGTTCCTTATTATAAGGATAGTATAACATACCCCAAAACCGTGTTTGATTATTCAGGCCCCTACTTGCGGTGTAGGATTATACGGTCTGAAGTTCGGCACACTGCCGCAGTCGAGGGCTGAACTGTCTGTATTAGTGTGCCCCTACAGGCCCTACAGAAGGGTTTAGGGTTTAGGGTTTAGGGTTTAATCACCCAGAAAGTTTGCGGCAAAAGCCAGCTCTAATTGTTGAGGTCCTTGTTCAACCCTGATTCAATCCCGTTCAAGTCCTACCAGACCCTATTCTAATCAGCAAGGCCTCTGTATTCGAACATGTTGTTGATTGCCTCAATCCGCTTTTTCCGTAAGTCCCCCATCTGTGAATGATAGCACTTTTTCATCATGCCTGCCGGTCCAGAATCCTGAACCAAACGGCTTCGAATCCAAATTCCAAAGCACGCTGAACCTTAACTTGCACAGCGACTAGAACCTGCATACAACCAATCCTAAACCCAAAGCCCCAAACACCCTAAACCCTAAACCCTAAACCCTAAAACCCTAAACCCTAATCCCCAAAACCCTAAATAAACCCCAAATCTTCGGGCTGAGGCTGAGCTCTGATGCGGAGTGAAAGTCCCATAGCACTTTTAAAAAAACCCAAATCCTACATTACTCGACCCCAGGGCCTTTTCGGCGCCCCGTAGCGGAACAGTTCATCTACCGAAACCCTAAACCCTGAACCCTAAACCCTATCAGGCAAGGCCCTAACTGGGGCAGCCTCCTCGGTGGCGGGAAGGCGCGTGCCGTCGTGAGCTGTTGGGTATTGTCACCAATAGCTAGCATTGATGTTACTATCAAGATCATCATCATCATCATCATCATCATCACCACCATCATCACCATCATCACCATCATCACCATCATCACCATCATCACCATCATCACCATCATCACCATCATCATCATCATCATCAACAACAACATCATCATCACATATACTTATAACTAAGTGCAATGCACACCTCTGTTCTGTTTATTTGTGCATTCATGTGGTTTTTAGTTTTTTCGAGGTGTTCTCCTGCTTGAATTCTGTGTTGAGGGTTTATGGTTTGAGGGATGCCTTGTTCGTAGAGGTATTAGGGTTGAATGGTGTAGGATTCAACTGAGAGTTGCAGCCGAAGCACGTTGAGGACAAAGACGCATCATCATCATCATCATCATCATCACCATCACCATCACCACCATCATCACCGTCATCACCATCATCACCATCATCATCATAATCCTGGAAGCTTACTGTAGGTTGTGCGTGCTTGAATGTCTGTGGCTTATTGCGGTGCGTGGGGCTTTTCCCAGAGATCATGGCGGTTTTGGGGTTTAGGGTTTGTGGATAGTAGACCAGTTCTACCTTCATAGTCCTACACACGGACCAGTTCAATGCGCCAATCAACAACCTGAAAGATCCCATACTCATTTCGTCAAACAAATCATCCTGAGATCCGTGAAATCCTTAGAATCCGATATCTTCAGTTTTTGAACGCGACTCTGTTTCGCCAAAGGCCAAGCTCTTAAGAACGAGTTGCAATTCCCGTTTGACGAGGGGTCCGAAAGCCCAAGCCCCAAACCCTAAGCCCAACACCCAAAACCCTGAGCCGTTAAGCCCCAAACACTAAAACCCTAAGCCCAATGCCCAAGAACAGACGAGACTTGATCCCCTAGACCCTAAACCCTAA